GTAATTAAAATAAAATAAAATAAAATAAAATAAAAATACTGTCCTAAATACTTAAAGGATTTTACTTTCCCCACATCTTTATGTTGCTGTTGTTAAAGTTTGCAAACACGTAGCCTGGGAGAAAATGTGAAACTGGAGTCACTTCAGTTCCAGTCCTGCAGGTCTTCTGGGTGTGTGTGTGTGTGTGTGTGTGTGTGTGTGTGCGTGTGTGAGCGGCGCGCGGGCGTGTAGGCGCGGTCTGCTCGCACAGGGCAGGGCAGCAAGGTGAGCTGTCTTTTTTTTTTTTTTTTTTTTTCTTCACTAGGTAAACTCATCGCCAGCTCCTCCCGGTGTCAGTCGCGCCGTCTGGGACGTTAAAGACGGGGGGAAAAAAAATGTCGGGCGCGGATCCCCTAAAATCCGCCATTTCCTACGAAAACCAGGACGACACGTCGCTGGCTCTGCCGTCCGTCAACCAGTACCGGTCCGGAGCGCAGCGCGTCAAGGAACAACTTCAAACCATCAAGAGGACCAGGTCCAAACACTTAAGCGCCAAAAGCGGACCCATCCCCCTGTCTCCAACAAGTAAGAGCAGAAAAACAAACAAAGATGTATTTTTTTGTCCACGACAGATTGAGCTTTAATCAGAATCAGACGTTTTATTTATGAACGCAGTTTCATGAGGCTCTTTTTCCCCCAAAGTTGGCAAACACATCCACTTACCTTCAGGTTAAAAAAGCAAGGACGTAATGATTCAGTAATTCTTGTGCCTACAGCAAAAGTTGGAGATCAGATTTTGAGATAAAAACCATAATTTCTTCTAATTATACAACACAATGCAACAATCTAAACACTTGTAACATAAAACCACAGCTATAGGGTTAAACATTGGTTGTAAAGCAGAAATCCTAAAATTTACATGTCATTGTCATCTCTTTAAACTTTGCTATAACCATTTAAATAGTTAAATGTTTGTTTTTACTAAAACAGAAATAAAAGAGCTGAGACTTGTTGGTGAGTTTTAGTTTTGCCCTGATTACTAGAAAACTGATCTAAAAGTTGTAAACTAGTTCATAATAACGTCTGCCAGGATTTCTTTCTCATCAGCTGATGTTTGGAGCAAAAGTTGATTTTTGATTTGGCTTAATTCTTAGAACAGGTGTTCTTGTTTAAAGGCTTTTTGTTTTTTTTATGTGTACACGTATAATAAAACGAGGATCCAAATAAATTCGTGCTCTCATTTCTGATCTTTATTGYCGGCCCTCTTTTTCATGGTTTGGTAGTTTTTAAAGGTAATTAGACTTCATAGCTGTTAATACTTATGGCGTAAATCAAAGATCAAAAGCCGCCACAGAACCAAAGGTTGCCTCGTTTTTCTCCAGGGAAACAAAGTAATAAATCACTGGTTATAAAACAGGTGTGTTCACTTTGATAACCCCTAACATTTCTCCCCAGGCCCGTTCAATGACGCTGAAGGAAGTGTCTTCTTTTCCAATGGCTTCTCTAGAAGTGTGAGTTTATTTCTGTCTTTTTTTAAAAATATTTTATATTTTTCCATACTTTAAGTATTGTAGCGGTTATTTTTCTTGATCATGCTGTTGATTGGATCGCTCTGGGTGTATTATAACCACGTGGATTGGAGGACATGTCACGTGTGATTTATTTCCTACGTTTCAAGGTTTTAAAGCACTTATTTCCCAAAGCTACATACAAACTGTACAATGTTTTTGTCAGGTTGAATTACAGATTTTTAATGCTGTTCAGATGATTTCAACTCCTGTGTTTAAAATTGTACTTGAGCGTTTAGTATTTGTAAAATCTTCCCAGTGAGTTTGTTTTACAGGAAGGATTTGCTCCAACAAAACTAGAAACGTTAGATTTTATGACCTTCTGAAAATAACAGAAAAAAAATCGCTCTCAGGGTGGATTATGTTGGTATAGTTTAGTTGTTTCACGTGGCTTGCTGTTTGTCAGCGTCATTGTCTCCTGAAGGGTATCTGATGTAAAACAGTTGGCAAATGTTTGGCACAAATTTGCTTGATGTGGCGACCCATTGAAGATAGGGGAAGCTGAACATAGTTGATTTTTGTCTTTTTTAGCATGTAGTTTTGAGTGAGATTACTTGAAAATAAAGACAAATTTGTTAAATAGTTCCAAATTGAAGCATATTTTACGTATTTTAGAGGCGACTCAGTTTTTGTTTTTGTCCTGATCTAGATCCAGAATCCAAAACTTTTCCAATTTTATCCGAATTTAAGTTGCATTRCTTCATTACTTCTGTGAGACTGCATTATCGTTCCTGACAAGCATGTTCTTTCTTTTTCTTTCCGTTCTGCAGTTCAGCCTCGAGAAAAACATAAATAATCATCAATTATTCGACAACTCTAAAAGACAAACCAGGAAGAAAAGTTCTACATTTTCTGGCTATCGCTACGAGAGCGGCTATGGCCTCTCTGGCTCTGTGGCAGCGGGTCAAACCAACACCAGTCGGAGCGAGCCTGCCCTGACCTTGCAGCCAAAATCGTCTGTCCCACCACAGAGAAAGAGCACCTACGTAAAGAGCAGAAGTAGCAGCAGCAGTCAGTACATAAAGAGGCTCAACTCACAATCACATCAGAAGAATGTCTCAAATGGTCAGGTCAAAACACAGTACCACACAGGTGTTCCARTCAGTCCAGTGCAGATAAAACCACAACCTTCTATGACCATCTTAAATGGTTCAGCTCAGACAAAATCACAGTACCACACAGGTGTTCCTGTCAGTCCAGTGCAGATAAAACCACAACCTTCTATGACCATTTTAAATGGTTCAGCTCAGACAAAATCACAGTACCACATTGGCATTCCAATCAGTCCAGTACAGATAAAACCACAACCTTCTATGACCATTTTAAATGGTTCAGCTCAGACAAAATCACAGTACCACACAGGTGTTCCTGTCAGTCCAGTGCAGATAAAACCACAACCTTCTATGACCATTTTAAATGGTTCAGCTCAGACAAAATCACAGTACCACACTGGTGTTCCAATCAGTCCAGTACAGATAAAACCACAACCTTCTATGATCATTTCAAATGGTTCAGCTCAGATAAAATCACAGTACCACACAGTTGTTCCAAATGGCTTGGGTCCGGTTAAAACATCATATCCTGCAGTGGTTCCAAAAAGTCCAGGACAGATAAAAGCACGTCATTCTATGTTCGTTTCTAGTTCAGGTCAGAACAAAACACAGTATCCTACAGGATTGCCAAAAAGTCCAGGGCAGGTAAGACCAAATTCTATGTTTTTTTCAAGTACTTTAGGTCAGAACAAAACACAATATGGCACCTTTACTCCAAACGGCCCAGAACAAATAAAAACACATCAGTCTATGATCGCTTCAAATGGATCAGGTCACATCAAATCACAGTATTTCAAGAGTAGTCAAAGTGGCATGATGGGGACAAATTCAACAACTTTCATCGATGGGTCTACCAAGATCAAAGAAACCTGTGGGTGAGTGGGAAGATGACTCGCATTATTTCATTGCTTTCAGTATTTAGTGAGCAAATTGTTCTTGCAAACCACTCGAGAAACTTTAAATCTGTTTTTTTTACACCATTTAGGGTAAATGAAACCACTTCATCTGCTCCTATCACGTTGAAGGAAGCTGTGGAGTTTCTTTCCAAGGATGACGAGAACTACCAATACTGTGGCGCCTCCTACATTCAACACAACACTTTCATTAGTGAAAATGCAAAAGAGGAGGTGCTYGGACTTGTTTTGTTTGTACACTTTTTTTTTTGCTTTGCGTAGACTTTACCAAAAACATAGTGGACTTTTTGAGAAATGGCAAAACAGGAAATAAATTAATGATTGTATTWCCCAGCCGCGTTGTATGAGTAAGCGTTAATTTGGAAATTTTATTGAAGAAAGTGAAATRCCACAATGATGGCAGGCACTCTAASATRTATTTAACTTGCTTCACAGTATTTTATAATGTGCATTTAAACCAAGACACACACAAACCACTTTTTATAGTAAGTTTAGGGTCCTGTGTTATATAGTTTTTCACAACAATGGTATCCATTGATTTTCTTTACCAACTTGTTCCTGTTCCGAGTCTCAGTGAGTTCCTATCTCCATCATTGGGTACCTGCTGGACAGGTCATAGGGTCACAACAACAATTTACGCTCCCACACTCTGACAATTTACCTAATTGGAATGTTTTTTTGTTTTGTTGGAGGAAAACAGGAGTCAAACATGTGACCTYATTGTGAGGCAACAGTCCTAACAAGCCTCTCCACTGATTTCRTTGGTTTCAAGCATTCATGTACAATGTTTTAGTCCTGCATTTAACGCCCCGCTGTACAAGAGACAAACTTATAATTTGTAGATTTGTAGCCAGGGACATGATGAATTAAGTTTTATCTCGATGTTAAGTAAGAGCAAAAATGCAAAACGTAAAATTTGAGGCTTAAATGAAAGAAAATAAATCTGAGCTCTCCCATGAGACTYGAGGCTTTGTTAGGTAATTTGAATCCAGCACAGGATGTCAGTAGGAGAAAAAAAAATCACAATCAGGAGTTTTATCTCTGGATTTTAAACATCCTTTTTTGTAAAAAGCTTATTTGACTCAGTTTTGAATTTTTGCCCTTATAGTTTTAATTTTTTTTCTCTCCACTTTGTGCTAATCTACATAATCCCTTTTTGTCCTGCAGGTATTGAAGCTAAACGGCATCCCTCCCCTGGTGAATTTGCTGCGTAGCTCCAGCGCACAGGTCAGGTACACGGCCTCGGCTGCCCTCCGTAACTTGTCCTATAAGAGCGACGGCAACAAAAGGGAGATCCAGCGCTGCAGCGGCATCCCGGCGGCTGTCACTCAGCTCAAATGCTCAGACTCCGCTGATCTCAATAAACAACTGACAGGTACACGGTGGAGCTGTCAAATGTAGAACGACCGGATACACACACGCACACACCTAACCTAACCATCAAGTCAGACAGAGCCCATTGTACGAGCGTCGCACAATCCTGCAGGTTTCTGGCACTCTGCTATGTTACACGGGCATTTTCCGCTCACTTTCAGAATCCATTTGATTCTGCTGTTGTCATTCTTCCTGATCTTTGAATATTTAATCAAACTTAGAGCTGTCACTAACAGGACCTGAGTGCCCATCTTTAAACTAATAAACTTATTATGAAATTAAAAATAATTTTAATTGAAAGTTTGATATATATATATATWTWTTTTTCTTCCCCCTCAGGACTTCTGTGGAATTTATCCTCTGCGGAATACCTGAAGTCGGACCTGATGAAGGAAGCTCTGCCTGTTCTAACGGAGCATGTGCTCCTGCCTYACACAAAGCAGACCACAAAAACTGAAAAAGATCCTGAAGTCTTCTTTCACACTACAGGATGTATCAGGTTAGAAAGAAAAACAAAAYGATRATTTCAYGGCGTTAGTTTCAGTTTAGATACCCATTTTTTATTGATTTTGTTCAGTCTTTCCAATGAAGCTGTTTTTTGCTGAATAAATAGGTTTATAAACATTGTTGCAGTGCAGTTTAGAATGGGTTAAAATACTTTAATTACCTGACAGAGCACACTTGTTTGAYTTTTTCTTTAGCAAGAAAATGCAAAAGTTTAACTGTAAGTATTGTCATTACAGTAGATTGTGAAAACTCAGTGTTCAAAGGGTTTGATTTTCTGCAGATATCTTTAACATCATTGGTTCTTTCGAGCTGGTGTGAATTACTTCTTAATTCTCAGCGTAATTTAATACTTTATATTTTCTAACCGTGCTTATCTGTCATCTTTCCAAATATTGAAATCCCTGTGTGACCTCGAGTTTAAACAYGTCTTTCCTACGTATAGCTGCTTCTCATTAAGCGGTGTAAACTTCCACGCTGTAGCGACAGGTGTAAAACAACACAAATCGTTGTTCTAGGTGATTGCTGCCTGATGAAAGCTATCTTATCTGTTGCATCAATAAACACATGGTGTAATGTGGAACAATGGATTAACATCCTGCAACATTGTGAAAGGGCTGRAATGGTTGATCGTTGTTTAAAATGATTTTTTTTTCTGAAGTTAAATCTACTTTTGCTCATAGTATCGTACCAAGATAACATTTCGGTACTAAAATCTTTGAAGATGAGAGATTTCCATCCACTTGAACATAATATAAACAAACTCGTCTTACTGACTGTGGAGAATGTAGAGAAATGTTTATTTTTCTCTATTTCATTTTCAGTCTGGAATTGTAAGGAAGCATTCTCTTTGTTAGGAATCTGTTTATTATTTTTAAAGCTTTTGTTCATGTCTTGCACCTTGGTTTCTGCAGAAACCTCAGCAGCGCAAAGCAAGACAGCAGAAAGGCGCTGAGGAAGCAGAAACATTTGGTCGACTCTTTAGTGAGTTATGTTAAAGAATGTGTGGACAAAGGACAAGATGATGAGGTAAGAATTGTTTTTCTTTTTTTGCACATTTTTAGCAAAAGGAAACTTGTAATTAAAAACAAATGCTCTAAAATAAGGTTTGAACTTGTTAAAAGAAGTTTTAGCATCAGATTAGGACAATAACTTTCACTCATGCTCACACAAAGTTTACGTTTTGACGCAGTCCTTAGGTAACTGCCTGTGCATCTTGCACAATCTGTCCTACAAACTTGAGGCCGAGGCTCCAGAACTGTTCTACAACATCAACGCTTTGGCTTCGACTAAAGCCAGGAGCCAGAGTTACAACAACATCAGCCCTGTCGGCTGCTTCAGCTCACCAACCAAACCTCATGAGGTGAGTGAGACGAACTCAACAAAACAGAACCAAGTTTTCTGACACCTCACCGGGATTAAAGTGTTTACCAACAAGTGTCAGTTTGTCTAGACACATTTTATCCCTATCATTACGGCTCCATGTCAGATTTTGAGGTGTTTAAAGTGACAATAGGTCTGATTTCTAAAAGAAGGCAAGATTTATAATCTCTTATTTCGGCTGTGTCATTGCCAACCAGTCCCTGAGCATTAAATGGACACACCCAGGAATAAAATGCAAACTGCAGCTCACAGGGGAAAGGTTTCAGTTTTCAGTATGTTGTCATGTGCAACAAATGCTGTGGCACAGTGTGAGAGAATTAAAAGTTAAAACAGAAATGCAGAAGTTGGGGGTAATTTGTCTCTTTCTTTTTTTTCTTTTTTCCTCATCCAGTACCACTTCSACTACCCGGTCATCGAGGAGCAGAAAGCCAGCGGTGCCGGCTTGCTGATCCACTCCACAACGCTGCAGAGCTACCTGTCTTTGCTCGATTCGAATCGACGGGACGAGACGCGGGAAACCTGCTGCAAAATCATGCAGAATTTGACTTCCAAWAACAACGCTGTAAGAAGTGATCATCGTGTTGCACAAGAACCCGTTTGCAAACTATTTTTGACAACTCATAAAAAATATATATGTTTTTTTTTCAAGTGACGCATAGGAAAACAAAAGTTGGGTGAGAACTGACTGTAAAAGTTGTGCAATACAAAGAAAATTAGTTCTTAAAGGGGCAATATTATGTGCTTTCCAAGCCTATATTTCAATTTTATACTAAAATAAAGTAACTATGTCACATTTTCAGCTTATGAAAGTGCTATATATTTGTAAAAATCCCCCAAACAATTTACTTCTCATCTTGACAGTTTCTAAACGCCTTGAAATAGGTCTCTGTCTCTTTAAGAAAATCCAACCACTTCGGCCACGCCCATTTCAGTGCATCATCACAAGTTTCATGCCACCGCTTTTAACTGGTATTAGGAGCACTTTTGTAGTTATAACAACTGTTGTCTCGTTACCTGTGTCGCTACTGTCTAAGAGCAGWCGTGCAGTTTCTCAGGGTGTTTACTAAATGTTGCTGCYGTAGCCTGCCKGAGTCACGTAGCCAGTGGGGAATGGGGGGTGGGGCGCTCTGCCATGAGGAAGTTTGACTTAAAGACACGTCCCAGAGGAGGAGCTTGTCCCAAAAGGCATTTCTGGTCCCCACCTGTCGTTTTGCTCCTCAGCATGGCTGCCTAAAAACGCTGCAGGATTTCTCAAACATGCGTGAATGAGTCAAAGCAAGGCTTTGGGCATGTTTTTTTTTATGAGAGTATAACATTATAACATGATATAAAACTCAAAAAAAGTTGATTTTACATGAAATTGCCCCTTTAAGATTTAAAGATGGGGGAAAGACTCTGAGGAATTAGATCTAAGGACAATGTTTTTTATCGTAAGATTTAATAAAGGATTTGAAGATAAATTTATAATTTAACTAACTTTAGGCTTAAAATTTCTTAAACTAAAGCAAGCTGAGACAAAAAATATATATATTCTTTTAACTTTATAACGTGATAGTGGCAGTTCAGCACCACTGACATAAACAAAACAAAAAACATTGATTTTTATATTTGCTATCACTGAGCTGAGCATGTTGTTATAATTTTATGATTTTTTTGAAATAATATATTGAAAATGTATTTATTATTTTCACCTCTCAGTTCGCTTTTTAAATTGCACCTTCACTCAACATGTTTYAAAGGGCCTTTATTTTTTGTCTTCATAGGTCTCAAATGTAATGAGTGCGAAGATTGTGCAGAAACTGAACGGCATGCCGTGTATCAGCCCTCTCCTGACCTCAGAGAGAATCAGCTTGCAAACGAGCGCCATGGCTCTGRTTGGAAACTTGGTGAAGAACCCAAATCTGCAAACTGTCATCAGTAAGAATCAAAAACTTTTTTTTTGTCTAACTACATTACATGATCTGAAGTATAAGTACATTTTTCTTAACTATTGCCTTTGACTTCAATATGTGGTTGTTTTGGTTTGGTCAAACACTGAGTGTGTTTTATTGGACGTGCTACTGAAGGTACGAGAGCTCTCCCTGATCTGGTGACTGTCCTGAACAACGGCACGGAAGGAGCGAATGAGTCCGACGACACTTTGGCCATGGCGTGCCAGACAGCCGGCACCCTGCTTCTGAGAGAACCGGAGTTCAACAAGAAATATCTCAACCAGAGYCTGATCGAATCCCTCCAGCACATCAGCAGGAACAGGTAAGGAGACTCCGAGGAAAAATAATCCTGCCKTGTCGCTTTAAATGGATGACTCATCGTTAAATACAATGTGAATGCATCTTAGATTTCCACAAGTTCAGACACAGATTTGACAGCTCGCCCAATTTTTAACACTTTCTTTTTTTTTTTGGTTTCCTTTTAGATATTTCCCCAAATCCAGCAAAGCCGCATCTCTTATTCTCCTGAACATGTGGTCGGAGAAAGAGTTGCAAAGCTGTCTGAGAAAGGTGAGTCGAGGCTTATGTGCCAAAACCTGTCAGGGTTCGGGTGTGTCCGCTCCGTAACTTACATTATACACAAAAGTCCACGCCTCTCGCAGGTATTTGTGAGAAACAGAAGGAAAGGCTGAAGGATTAGGCCGCATTCGCAGGAAAGTAAAAGCTAGAAACATTAATGTGATAAGGCTGAGGAATCTGGCAGGTCAGGTTTGATGAATCACAACCTGGACTTCGTTTCCACATGTACAACACTTTCATATTCCAACTTCAAAGTATATTATTAAGAGTTTTCCATGTGAGCTTGCCAATGTGGACTTTGTGTGAATTTAATTATGACAAAGGAGGAAACGTTGATTGGAATGAAACATTTTTYTATTCTGCAGAATGGGATGATCAAGAGCATGTTTGTGAATGACACCACCGTGGCAGCGCAGAAGTTGGCCCAAGGGATTTATTAGCACAACAACTCGACAGACTTTTTGGGATTTATTTCCTCCGAAGCGCGACGTCTGCACTTCTACGAGGCACTGACTCATCGAGACAAAACTTAATCTTCTCTCAGTTCGCAAAGGTCATTCCACAATATTTATCCATCAACCCTTCACACTGCGTTCGTGCCTTGTACATACGCTGTGAGATTTTGTTTTTAAAATGCAATTAAAAGGTGAAGGTTTGGCTCTAACATGGCAGCAATAAAAGTCAGAAGTGTAAATTTGCTTTTAAAGTTTTAAAACTAATACAAGCGTTTTAGTTGGTTTTCAAATCTGGCTTTTTCTGTAAAAAAAGCATGATTTTTATTTTGCACTAAAATGTATGCTTTATTGTTATGTAGCAATGCAATAAAAGGGATTCGATAGTTTAAAGTAAGCATGCAAAGTAACATTGTTTCAGAGATTTTTTTCTTTTTTTATGTAATCATTAGCATTTCTTTAAGTTCAATTTATAGTTGTGCTTTTTTTTTTGTCATAATTGTTGCAATAAAGCTGGCAGACGCTTGCCGTACAACCTGCAACGAGACATTTGAGTTTCATTCGTCACAGTTTCTGGTGATGCATAAATGTTTTTCAGACCTTTTCGCACCTTGTCGCTACCTCTGAAATTTGGCAGCGCTGCTTGAAATGCCTCTGGGAAAATTAACGTCTCTGTGTGTGTGTGTGTGTGTTAACTCCACCCTCATGGTTTTCTTCCCCGAGTTGTAGGAAGAAGCCATTAGAAATAGAAAGCGCAGTTTGTGTTTGTTTTTCTATAATTGTTATATAATAATATAATTATAATTGTTGACTGAACATGAACCTTTCAGATCATATAGCCAATGCAAAAAAATAAAATAAAAAATCTGTAATTCTAAAGGTAAGGGGTTATTTAGATTAAAGCCAGTCTGGCTCACTTAATCTGTGGCTTAAAAAATGCATTTTACCTGAGAGATTTATGAGAGATGCCATTATGAGGACTGGCAGTTTTACAGGCACAAATCAAGCCTGTCAGGGTGTGTAAAGGAAAAAGAAACGCCTATTCAAAGAATGGATCTTCACCAGTGTCACACAACTGAATGTCACTTAGTAACCACTACACCTTCAGTTTGACTCCGTATTCTGGATTTAAGTCTTCTACCCTTAAAAAAAGTTTCAAATTACTAATTTGTTGAATATAAACTAATATTACTTTAATTTGAAAAGGACAATCCAAAATCTTCATCRGAAAATGACAACTTGAGTTGGTGGGTAGTGTAGAAAAACATGGCTGACCTCCGTCTCAGCAGTTTTTTTTGTACACAAAGTTCTCTAAGTTTTTTCTTCTCCTTCTTGGGTTGAGGTTGTCTCATGAAAACAATTTGGTCTAATATTTAAACCAGAGAAACAAGATACTTAAAATCCACCACCTCCTTAAGCCGGAATATCAAAGTTCAAATATTTTGAATTAATATTTGATGAAACCAGTTATCCAACAGCTTTAACCCAACTGCTGGGTTGTGCTGCATTTATTGGTTCTCCAAGTGAATRAATCTAGGATTTAAAAAGAACTTACTAGATGTGCATGCATTTGATTAAAAATGAGTTTTATTCATCACAACCACATGTATATAACTAAATATTTGGCCTGATTTATGTCTCTTAAAAAAAAAAAAAACAACAAAGTTGCTCCATCATGCAAAGTTCACACAAACTTTCTCCTTTCAGCATGAATACAGCATTCACGATTACACTTATAAAAACATGTCACGATATCGCCATAAATCGAACGTGAAATTTGCATGTTCCAATATTTAGAAAGCGTCATCTTGTAGTTAAAGTCACTCTCGGTAWTCCCAGGATGCCTGGTTGTTGCCAGTTTCCCATGCAGTAGATCCCAGGTGTTACTTCCTCAGGCCTCGTTTGCTTCTGCTGCCCTTTGAGCTGAAAATAAAGTTTAAGTCAACAGAGGCTTTCTCATTTGCCAGATCAGCAAACAAACACCCGGCACAGTCAGTGTTCATCTGCAGCGCTTTAAGTACCTTGAAATATAAAATACATCTTTGGTAAACCTTGTATGACTGGCTGAGACCTGTTTTTCCTTTCAATCTTCTATATCACATAAAGGCAAGTTAGAATAGAATAGAATAGAATAGAATAGAATAGAATAGAATAGAATAGCCTTTATTGTCCCGCAGCGGGTAAATTCAGGTGTCACAGCAGCATCAGTACAAAGGTTCACACACTAATTACTTTATCTGTAGATAGTACACACAAAACAAAAAATAACACTTACTAGCCATGATACAACTATTAATAATAAAAATAAAAATGAAAAATATAGTATGAAGAATTGTGCAAGAATAGAAAGACAATTTTTTGTTTCAGAATCAGAATTTTCCTGTTTTGAGTGCAAAAACAATCACAACATACCAATAACTGTAAAGTGAAGTATCACAATACAGACAAGAAAACACAGATGTGCAATTACAGCAGAGTATATTGCAAATGATTGTTCGGTTGAGTAATTCCAATGAACAGTAACAGTCTAAAATTTAGACTGTAAACAATGTTGCAGCAGCAGGTGTATAAACACTTATTGTGATTTTTGCTAACATTACGATTTTTGGGCGTGGTGCTGGTTATAGAGTCTGACAGCTKCTGGGAGGAAGGATCTGCAATAAACATCCTTTGTGCACCTCAAGTTATTGCCTTATATGGCCTGTTCACCATCCCCATCCAGCCCCCAGGAGGTCAATAAAATTTCAGAAATCAAGTAGAAAGTACTCTGCATGCAAATCCAAAATTGTTGTTTTGTGATGCTTTTATTTTGAAGGCGAGGAGACTATATGGAGTGTGTGTCAGGAGTGTGATTTGCAGTGGCAGGGTTTTAAAACATTATCATCATGTCAAAAAAAGAATTCAGAAATTTTAATAAAATATGGGCGTCTAAGTAATGAGCTGCTGAAGTCAGCGGCAAAGCAATGCGCTTTGTTTTTTGTGATACATTTTGCTCCTATCAGATAAATAAAACAGCAGGCACGCGCTGTATCAAAAGCATTGCTATCCACACTGGAAAAGCAACGTGAGCTTCTTTACAAGATTTGAACGACAGGCAAGATGAGTTTCATCATATCTCACTAAAAAGCAAAATAAAGTAAATAAAAACAGGAGTTTCTCAGAGTAACAGTGCTGTGTTCTGTGCCCTGAAATACACGGACATGTGATGGCAGCAAATCAGATAAAAAAAAACTGTTCACATTTATTTATTTGTCTTGTAGCTGTACATTTACCATCTTTAGCTGTAACTGCTCGATTTAATTATGTTTTAAAACTAATTCCCAGAAACAGCTCTGCTTTGACAAACAGCATTTAAGAGCAAAGTCTGAGTTTATGTTCTATAATCTGATGGAAGCTCCATGTATGGACAGCATATACTATATATATA